CTCCGTTATGTTCTGGAGGTGAACAGCTTTGGTGGTTTAGGGAAAGTTTAGGGAGCAATCAGGCTTTCAGAGAGGCTTTGTGGAGCTTAGGGTTGCGAGTTGCTTTAGAGATCCTACTATTTCATGTCCACATTGGGGCTCGTTGTGTTCTGGAGGCGAACATTGTTTGGTGGTCTAGGGCTTGGGACAGGGGTTTCGGGTTTAGGCGTTACAAGTAGGATGTAGGGCTTGTAGGGTTTTAGTTTCGGGACGTCGTGCATCCCATTATGGAGGGTCAATGTTGGGGCTAGTGCTTCATGTTGAAGCGTTTCAAGGTTTCGCATAGCCATGGGTGCTTCGGGAACCTTATGTCTCGTGTGTAACACTGCTGGCTGAGGGTTTAGGGTTCCAGGGTTTTGGTTTAGGGCTAGGGTTGTCTGACAGGCTTAGCGCTGACAGAATCTGTGGACTCAACATCTTCGTGCAAGCAGATTGACCCAATATGCTTAGTTGGACCTGCTGGAACGGGGTACGACATGTGGAGTACCCTCCCTTAGCAAACGAACTTCGGAGGTGCACGCATCTACATAGTATAGAACTTATGCCCCTAAATCCCCTAAACAAGAACTGAACCCTCCTCTAAGTATCAGGGTAGGCCAAAGACCCCATTTTCAAACCAGTACTGAGGCGCTTCGAAACCCTCCGCCGAACAAATCCCGAACAAAAAAACACGGGAACCAAACAATAGTCGAACCAGGAGCCCCAACACACAAGCCGAAATGGTTCAAGCTTTGTGTGTTACGCTAGGGTCCCTGGATTTCGGGTTTGGGGGTTGCTGCGTTGCGTTCAAGAGTTTAATCTAAGTTCTCATAACATGGAAGCCCCATTATTTGCTTTTGATCCCTCTCGTGGTAGTTCGTACTACTTAAAGGATCAGGGTTATAAATAAAGTAAGTATACTTATGAGTCCTTATAAACCCCAACAAAGGTACGTATAACCTAACATACTAAGTCCCCTGATCCTCCAAGTAAGTTCCTTAACAAGAACTCAGGTTAGGGGCTTGGTGTGCAGAAGCCTGGCCCCTAAACCCTAAACCCTACAACCTAAGGCCCCTAAACCCTAAACCCTAAAGCCCCTGAACCCTAAACCCCCGTATAGTTTAGGGTTTAGGGAGTTTAGGTTTTAGGGTTTAGGGTTTAGGGTTTATGGTAATCCCAAACCCTAAAGCCTGAACCCTAAACCCTCAACCCGCGAACTGAGGCCGGCACTTGGCTGAGCCACGGCACACACAAGGACTGTAGAGGGTGTATATTGAGGGTACACTGAGGGTAGATTGAAGGTATAGTATAGCGGGATCTTTAGCTTCACTATTATTGAGTAAGGGCATTTTTTGTAGAATGTGCAGCCCTTGGATATTCTTTGCTGCTTGCTGAGGCCGTCGCAGACTCCTACGAGTCCACAAAATTTACAATACTTCAAACGCACGACGCAACCGTCAAGCCGTCTTGACTACATGGGTCTTTGTCAATACTACCACTTTTCATGACAGCAATGATCTCATGCCAGGTCCAAGCTCATGCTAGTGATGAACTCCCAGATATTAACGTCTACCTGGGGCCTATTTAGCCCAATAACTATTGGGTTTATGCCAACAATACTTGGTTATTCCCCATAATCATGAGGCCAAATATACCTTCGATATCCCCCCAAAAACCCTTAATGTTCCCCCTATACACCCCTTACATACCCCTACATTATAACCTAAACCCTGAACCCTAAACCCTATCCCAATGTAGTAATAGAGGTAACCTTACAAGCTGTGGAGCTCTAGCTCTGAGGCTGTAGGCGCCCAACGCCCCGGCTTCCGGCCAGTACTGCCAAAGTTTTTGGGCTCCTTCGGATGCGGATCAATGCAGATTCTTCATGGGTTCGTTTAGGGTTTAGTTCAGGGTTTAGTGTGGAGCAATGTGATGTGAAGGTGTCTTTTCGTACTGTTGCTCCATATGAGTATTCTCTGTAAGTGTTTTGGTTAGACAAGCTTCACACTGCCCTCCCCTTTGCTTGCACTGCGACAAGATTTCCAGCAGCTCATCGCTGGACAGAAAGTAGAAACGTGCGATGCCGTTCTTCGAAAGCCAGCTTGAAGCTGCTAAGGAACCAAAGCTCAAGAAAGGTGGAAGATACCAGCCCAAGCTGCAGCTTTCGAAATGTAAAAATGTTCACCATATTGGGTCCAATGGGTATAGCAGGGCACGCACAGAGTGTTTGCTTGGAGCTCCCTCAATCCCACGCCTTAAGCCTTTCAAGGATTAGAATTAGAATTTAGGAGACCGAACCTACTCCCTTAAAGGCTTGAATGCACGCGCAGAACCTTTACAAAAAGCTGCTTCAACCCTCATACCTCAAGCTTTTCGGGCCACCCACGCGAGCCTGGAAGTTGTCGGAGGGACCTGGGCGTGTCATCAAGCGCACTCACAACTAAGAGCTTCGCAAGCCGAGGACCTCAAGGGGCAATTTCTTGAGGCTGGTCGGCCAGAGTCTGCACTGTACAACCTGGGAAGGCACAGCTCAAACACTCAACTCCAAAGATGGCTCACGGTTAGGTTAGACTTGCACAGTTTTATCCCGAGCTTTGCCATCACCAGGCCGCTAACGCTTTAAGCGGAGCAGCCGTCTGTTCTGGCATGGATAAAGAACCTCGGAATGCAGTCACACCAGATACCCCATGCACCGCAGTCAGCATGCCACAGATCGACTCACGAAGACTAGCAAGTGAATTTCTGCGCCGAGGACTGAAGAGGTTGCTTTGGCTTCGCACAAATTCCGGTAAAACAAAACGTTTGACAAATGTGTTTCGCCGTGGCCGTCTGTGCGAGCGAGGCTTGTCCGCACCAGCTGGGTAAAACAAAATGTCAACGTGAGCTCGTGCAGCTAGGGCAACTGGCGGAAGCCGTACGGACTGTTCCTTGTGTTCTCGAACAGAACCTGGTCTGCCGCTTCCTTCTTCCACTCGCCCTGCCAGTCGAGGCGGTAGATCGCTAGCTTTGACAGACGGCAGGAAAGTTCTTCCACGGCTTTGATCCGGCTGGCGAGCTGAGCAACAAGATTCGGGGCAGACTCGATCAGCAAAACCTCGCCGACCAGGGTATGCACATCGCCATTGACCTGCAGCTCCTGCACCCAGACCTCTTGGGGCTTGCGGTAGTAGCGTCTGGCGCTGACAGGTTTGTCGTCAACCAGCTTAAGCATGAGCCGCTGGCGAGGGATGGAAAGCCGAATTGGGTCGTGGCGGGGGCGATGCAGAAACACGTCCCACCTGGCCCATCCGAAGTTGGCAGCGGCAACCAATACAGGATAGCCGAGACCTGCTAATTTTGTGGATGAGAGAGTTTGGAAGTGCTGCCACTCTTTGTCTGCGGTGCTTTGAGTCAAGGTTGTCACCAGGAGGGTGATGTAACCGAGCTTGCACTGTTCAGCCAAGTCCTTGTACCTTTTATCGCCTCGACTGGCATGCTCAAGCAAAGAATCTTGCATTGCGGCGTTGCCCAAAACTGACTGGGTGGTCATCTTGTTGCTGCTGCTTGGTCGGATGAGCAGCTCAACACCCATGCTGCCGTCAATGTACACATCCAGCTTCCCTCCACTCGATGATGCCTCTCGCTGCACATTCTGCAGACTGAGGTTGTCTCTGCAGAATTCGTAGAGGGAAACCTGCAGACTCCATTCAGGAGCATCTACGTTGTTTCCGCCATGAATGGACAAGAGGGCCTTGGTCGGTACATGGGAGAGCCATGCTAGAACCAGGTCAACGACGTTTCTTGGAGTGCCTGCTGGTTCAGAATGGTCACGGCTGAAATTTGTCAGCCATCGCTTCTCATGAGCAATATCAGCCCACGCATACTTGAACTTGTCTGCATAAATTTCTGGCTGGAGGGGGTGCGCAAAGGAAATGGCTTCCGCTGCAGATGTCCGTGCTAGACAATCATCCTGGTCTTCAGGTGGACAAACCGCGTAATACGCATTGGACAAGCCATACCTGTGCGAGGGGATGCTGGGGTCCCACAATGGAAGAGCCTCACCCGCAGGAGTCGTTCTCATCAACAATCCCGTGCATCGCATCGCCGAGATTAGTTCTGCCTGGGTGTCGTCTGGTTTGCCATTCGCGGCTCCAAAGATCCGAATGTACAAGTCCGTGAACTCTGATGCTAGATTGGACAGGATCTCACGGATTGATCGAAGGCTTTTGTCGCCTCGTAGCTTCTGTTCTGTCTGCACTGCAAAGAACGTCACAACGCCAATGTTGCCTGCAGCACTGTTGAGAAGAAGGTCTGCGCTGGCCGTCGCTGTGTGACTGTCCAGCCCAAGCTTTTGCAAACGCTCTGCCAGCCACTCCTTCATGGCTTCCTTCGGTGCTGGGGACCGAAAGAATAAGGTCTTGGCTACCAGCTCTGGTGGCGTAATGAAGCTCCTCGCTGGCGTGGCCCTGCCAGCCGTTGCAAAGATTGCATAACCATTGTCTTCACCATTTTTGAGGAAGGAGCTGATGATCTCCGCCGGTAGCTCGTGTGCCTCATCAAAATAGTACACTACAGTAGCTCTGTCGCAATCCAAGCCAGATTCAGCAGAGTCTTTCGCCATCTCTGCCACGCTCTTGAAGTTACCACTACGAATGAGTATGTCAAGCACTCCAGGGTTGAAGTTGGCGCAGTATCGCAATTCGACCGGCCCCCACATTCCTGCTGGAACTTCGCGAGCACCGAGGATTCCAAGGAAGCTTTTTCCGGACCTCGGCGGGGCACGTATCATTGCAGTGCGCTGATTTTCCACGATGATGTACGTCAGGAGTTCTCGCCATGCTGCTTCCACAGGAACAAGTTGCTCCTGTTTGAACGCTGACACTTCCCCATCGTTGAACACTCCTTGCGCTCGCAACGGAAGCCTGTCTGAGACACGTACTTGCGTGGCACAGGGCCCCTTCACCCAAGCTCGGCTGGGATTGCACAACAGCCACTCCAGAATGGGAACGAGCAAAATCACGCGGAAGATGGCCTCCCCTGATCGCATGGCTACCAATATCTACTCTGCTTCCGTTGCTGCAAAAGTCATGAGAACAACCCTGAATCCTGGTTTTGATATCAGGCAACCCAAAGCGAAAATGTGAGGAACCAAAGCTGCCAACCTGCTCGCGCTGAAACAAGAGTTGTGCAGGCGTTCATGGCATCGTTGTGTCACAAGCAGCGACAAGCTGCAACGTCGCAATGGGGGCACAAGTGGCAGCTGAAAGGCTCAGGCTCAGGGAAGCAACTCAGTCACATCGCATCATTCGCACAGGTTCGCGTATTCATAACAATGGTGATTGTAGCAATACCGAAAACAATCACAATAATCAGAGAAGCATTTAATAACAAGACATCAAAATGCATTTATACATATATAGAAAGAGAGATGAAGAGTGGTACTGGCGATAGCATAATACTGATTACAAATGGCACTAACGAAAGTAGGAAGGGTTCGTGATGAGGTTGCGGGGAGGGCAAAAATTAGAGCGGCTCGACGAACCTTACACACGTAGGGCGGACTAGGGATGCGAGCGCACTCACAACTAAGAACTTCGCACTCAACCCAAAGATGAAAACGTTTGACAAATGTGTTTCGCCGTGGCCGTCTGTGCGAGCGAGGCTTGTCCGCACCAGCTGGGTAAAACAAAATGTCAACGTGAGCTCGTGCAGATGAGAACTTGAAGTTCGCAACAGCCAAAACTAGAGTTCTGAGTTATGGTGCCGACACCCATGTTTCCAGCTTATCTGAACCTGGAAACTAAAAATCTTTTGTCACTTCGAAAGAACGTCTGCGGTTGTTGACATGTCGTTTGCATGCTTAAGTAAAAATAAATGCACAAATAAATAAAGCAACAATCACAAATGCAATTTGCTAACTGGAGAAAATCGTAAACACCCGCCTACAGACACTTATGGCCTTGGCATGGATTTCTGTACTTTGATTCTTCGTTGCTCAGACAAGTACACTTAGTTTAGGATTGCACTCGTGGACGAAGGTTTGAAGTCTTTCGAAGAGCACTGCCGTAGCACACATTTCAAGAATCAAGTTTGTCGCATCAGCGGTCACAGCGTGCGGCCTCCGCCGAAATAGCCCGACGAGGCATGTAGAATCTTCCGGAGGCCGCGCCTCGAGAACGCGCGCGGCCTCTCCGAAGCAGCCCGACGAGGCATTTAAAGTCTTTTTATCTTAACGTTAGACAAATCTTTACAAGTCCTACATGCTAAGGCAACGATACGTTGCATTTGTCTTGAGATCTTGACTCGGAGTGCGGCCTCCAAAAGACTCTAAATGCCTTGTCGGGCTGCTTCGGAGAAGGTCGCGCGCGCGCAGGCAACATACCTGGCCTGAACTCTCACATGAACTGATTCCCCGCGCGTGTTTCCTACCTAATTTCTCCTGGTTTTCATCCTTAACCGATGTTCAGGTTTCACAAGACTGTTCAGCAGTGTTGTAAAATGGAATTTGTTGTGTGCTGCACGCAGCCTCTGCTTTTTACATGGAAGCGAAGCATTCTTGCTGGACAGTGTAACTGAAGAGTTTGTTTGGACTGTGCATGGTTAAGCAAATTCTTAAATGGTTCATGTACGGATTTTTTCAGTGCGCGATTTTGCAACAATAATGTTGCTTTTGAAAATTTACATTTTTTGCGTGATGTGTTGGAGCTTGTGAGCTGCGTTTTAACTGGCCACTTTGCAGTGGCAGTTGTTGCCGCTTTAAACGTTGCGCCCGCTAAGGTTAAAAAAAACTCTGCAAGACGTGCAAGACCACCTCGTGCTGGACTGACCTTAAGACTATCATCTTTTCGTAAGCTGCTGCAACCACAACGCCGGACACATGTCTGAACTTTCCGACTTCTGTCGGCACGCCAATGATCGCGCTGCCATGTCAACTGAACAGACGTGACGAAATGTGACCTCGGAGACAAGGAATCGTACGCAAGCAAACAGGAACAGTCCGTCGGCCGCTGCTGAAATCAAGGAATAAAGCTTTGCTTCTACCGACAACAAAAACACTACTTTCTGCGTCTTGCTGTAAGAATACAGCAACATGTTATCCCGAAGAATGGCACAAGAACTCACTGACTTTCTCGTCCGTTCACAACCGCTCTAATCAGAGTCCGATAGAACTTCAAGAAGAGAAGTGTTTTCGGTGCTGGATCTGTCCTGGATGAGGCCTTTGCCAAGCTGAGGCTCCGACAGCCCGATGCAGTGTGCACGGTGCACGCTGATGTAACTTGTCAAGTGTCTGAGCAGCTTCCAAGCGCCCTCGGTAGGTGCATGGGCATATGTTGATAAGTACCTGATCCCGAACTGACAAGCTCATGTACATCAGTAATTATGCCGACTGCGGAACGAAATCGGGTTGCAGTGGCACTGTCAAGAGGTTTGTCGGTGCCCTGTTCAGTGGGCAACACCCCGGGAAACGGGGTTCCTTTAGATCGATGGCTCCCTCGAGACATTCCTGTGACTTCAAGCAGTTTGTCGATGTACTTAACATTCGGCTCAATCACGAGTAGCTCCGGGCTCACAAGCAAATGCCGACGCTCCAGAAAGCTGACCCCAAGCGCCCAAGGAGGGCAGCCACACCGCCGCACAGCATGTCATCGACATGCACATAGCCTCCTCCGGCTGACGCCGGGAGTCTAAACAGTGCTGGGCTCTCTGGAAGCAATTCAACGCCAACAGCGCTTTTCATCTCACTTGTAAAATCATTGTACCACGTGACGCTTCCATCCCTCTGCCCTGGCAGCATCCTCAAAAGCTTAAACCACTTATTGCCTATACGGGTCAAGGTTGCATGCTGTTGATCGCACTGCAAAAACGCATCAGACACATCTAGGCTGAGCAATGACCAGCCAGCATCCCGACGGCGCAGGAACAGTGCCGGGATCACACGCAACATTATCTGGCTCGTCGTGGGACAAAACAGACCTGACCTCTCTGGATCAAGATGTGCATACTCCCGAGCAACCAGCCTCGACCTACGCAGCCACACCTTCTGCCCAGCGAGCACTTTCGGCCGCCAAGTTCTGACGCTCTTGGTCGTCAGCATGCGATGCCCATCAAGCTTAGCAGCTACCTCGGTCATGACTCCGAGCTGCACAAGTCTGTCAAACTCAAACTGGTCTGCCACTTGGTCAATCTCATCAAGTTCAGCTGGGCTGCATGCCGGCTCGCTTTCAGAAAATGGTTTGATCAAGCAAGAAGGTATTTCAGGGGCTGCTTCGGGTTCATACTCAACTCCATCTGCTGATTCACCACAATCAAGAAATTCTTCAGCTGCTTCTCCCTCTAGAGTGACATCTTCATCCTGATGAAACAAATGATTGCCGCTTGCATCTGTCTGAACAGCATCAAGGCGCAGCCGCTTCGTGCGTGATGGCACGGGTGCATCAGCTGGCGCATCTGCTGGCCTCGCTCTGACGGTGCCACTAGAAGGAAGGCCTTCGGTGGAACTTCCAGCCGTTGGTGCACTATCCCCGCCGGAACTTCCAGCCGTTGGTGCACTATCCCCGCCAGCTGCTGTGGGTTCATCCCCGCCAGCGCTTGCACTCGGCTCGACCAACATTGGCAAGGGTGATGCTGTCTCAGGCAGCACGGGCGTCAAGGAGGGCAACATGTGGGCCGGTGTCACGGCACTGGGATTGGAAGGAGTAGGCGGCTCTGGCGTTCGCAGCAACGGTGGCGGCGGCGCAAGGTCGGACAACAAAGTATCATCCGGTACCACATGCCCCGGATACGGCATGGTCTGCGGACCCTCATCTTCAACAACTTCTGGCGCCGGTGCCTCCTCGGCTGTCTGATCAGACGGATCCTGAAAGGTTTTCTGCAGCCGGGTTTGGCCGCTTTGCCCCGCCAGGAAGCTGGCCTGTGACCACGGTTGGTCACGAAGGCTTTCAAGAAATTTTGCATCGTACTGCTGGGGCAACCTGCGCACGCTACGAATGGAAATCAAGAAACCTCCTTGCGTCACACCAAAATGCAAATCAGACACTGCCAGTTTTCCTAACCACATCATTTTGATCCACCTGGCTTTGCCCTTAAGTGAAGACTTAACCCTGGCATAAACTACTTCAGAAAAATTGACAATCTTTCCAAGGTATGGCCTGCCTGTTATCACCTCAAAAGGGCTTGCTGCGCCTGTGCGCGAGTAGCGCATCTGCAGCCATCCAGCGTGGCGCCAGCACCAACCATGCAACGGGGACATCGTTGCAACCTGCTTGCCGGTTGCTTCCTCGACCTGCGACAAGAGAGTCCCGGTCAATTGCCGTAGCTGGTCCACTGCCTGTTCTGCTGGATTTCCTTGATGATTTCCCTTCTCAGTTTGCTCGAGGTGTGTAACAAGCTTCAGTTTGGTTCTCAAGTCCTTCACCCCTTGCTGCAGAGCACGACACGTGGCTTCGCCATCTGACCTCAAAGCAATCTCGGAATGGCCGCAGAAGTTGATGAACTTGCAAAGTTCTGCGACGAGGAATCTAAAAGGCACTGCTCCCCCTTTGGCCGGGGTAGGAATTGCGATGGCAGCTCCCGTGTGGCTGTCCTTGGCCACAAGGCAGATGAGTTTCTGGCCGCGCTCACCAGTGGGCCGCTCTGTGAAGCAATAGTCGAATGAACAAACACTGCATTCACGCGTCTCGGGACGCGATTTGGAATGCCTATCCTCTCTCGCCTGGAATTTCAAGCAATGTTCACACCAGGGTGCAAACGGGATGTGTGACAGTGAATGTAGTCGTACTTGTTCTGGTGTTGGCGTTTCGACTGGTCTTTGCTCTCTCGGCTGTTGCTGTTTGGCTGTGGCGTCGTACTCAACTTGGTGCTTTTCAAGAAGTCGCTGCTTATCAAGATGACTGGCAATCCTCGCAAGAAGGGTAGCTTTACCTCCACTCTTGCCTATGCCCAGAGCCTCGCAAGCAGCTCTGATTGTCTTCAAGTTGCAGCCTTCATGCAGCTCAACGCCATCAACAACGATGTGCCCTGGCTGGCTCTGCTGAGCAGCGGTTGCTGCCTCAGCCTCTGCACCAAGCATTTCGTCGATGCCAGCCAGCACTTCATCCTGATCAACCACATCACCGGCACACTCCTCAGGGAGGGCTGGAAGCCCGTCATCAAGCATGGCATCATCATCTGGCGCAGCCTGAACATGCCTGGGCTTGCGATTGAAGAGAGCATCTATGTCAACTTTGCCAACGGAACCAATCGTGATTGTCTGGTGGATTCGCCTGGGCTGGAACTCAGCCTCTGGCTGCTCAAGCAAAGTCACATCCTGATTGAACTCGGCCACATTCCAGCCTAGGCTGTCTTGCCTGACCGTCGTTCGGTGCTGCACTCCAAGGTGTGCAAGAGCATCACCGCAATCAAGAAAGCAATCTGTGTTGTCACGCCGGGCATACACTTGCGGGGCAACTTCATGAAACGCATCATTCAACTCAAGCCATGGGCCTGTCACCTCGAGCGCTCTTATTGCCGGCTCGGTGATGTTGTCTTGCCCAAACACACCTCGGATGGAACCTCGCGCATGCAGGCTGTAGTTCTTGTAGAACAGCGGCACTCTGGTGGAGCCATCAGGACTCGTGAGGCAAGGGACTTTTGTGTCGTCATGGATGATGTCCCAACCATTCTTGCGCATCAGCTTTCCAACACAGAACAACGGCTGAGTGACCGAAGAAAGGAGCCACTGCTCGCGAAACTTCACACCGCCAATCTCAATCGTGGCCGTGCGCATCTCGCGTCCTGCAATGCGGCGTCCCTGGGCATCGCGGTACCACTGCCCACGACACTGGCAAACATGATGCACCGGACCCTGAGTCCAACAACTTCTATGTCAGTGGCTTCGGAACTCTGCACGGCACACAGAAACGCAGCATCTGAACATGCATGGCTAGACTGATCTCTCACGTCGGTCATGTCAATCTCGACTGCACCTTACTCGACTCGACGCACATTCCTGGCATTGCTCTGAGCTCCGGCTTGCGACACTGAAGGCCCTACGGTGCTCGGTGGAGGGGCTGCACTGCTTGGCGCAACGGTGCTCGCTGCATCACTGCCTTGAACCTGATGAACGTTGCTGCGACCCGAGCCTGAGCCCTTCCCATTGTACCAACACTCAGACTGTAGTGGCCGTTCCTGCCGCACGCGAAACACTCAACATTCCTCTTGTCTCCTTTGCCATGCTGGACTTTCCACCTGACGATTTTCCACCTTTGTCGCCTTTGCCTTTGCCACCTTTGTTTCCCTTCTTGCCTTTGCGCTGCAAAGCATCAACCTCCGTGGGGACCGGGCCTTCCTGAGAAGCACGGCCCTTGGAAAACAAACTATCACCTGCAAACAAGTTCTGGAAATCCCATCTAGTATTCATCCTCTCAAAGTGCAAGCAGTCTCCCTCAGCGTGTTGTATGTAACGTCCTCACTCAAGACTGTCGCCAAATGATTTCGCATGTTGCCGCGACAGTCGCCTGCGCCTCGAAGAGGGATGCCCGTACGGCAGCGATGCCTCTTGAAACAACTCTTCGCGCTTCTTTCGAGTCTTGTAAAAGGCAGAGGCTTGCAGATAATCCAGCGGATTCCAGTGC